ACAAAAAGATGGAAGACCATTCCATGCTCTTGGATCGGAAGAATAAACATTGTTAAAATGTCTATATATTGCTTAGAGCAATCTATACTTTTAATGCCATTCTGATCAAAATTCCACTGGTATTTTTCAAAGAGCTGGAGCAAATAATCCAAAAATTTGTATGGAATCAGAAGAGACCCTGAATCACGAAGGAAATGTTGAAAAACAAAAATAAAACTGGTGGCATCACGTTACCTGATTTCAAGCTTTACTACAAAGCTGTGATCACCAAGACAGCATGGTACTGGCATAAAAACAGACACATAGACCAGTGGAACAGAGGAAAGAGCCCAGATATGGACCCTCAATTCTATGGTCAAATAATCTTCGACAAAACAGGAAAAAAATATACAGTGGAACAAAGTCTCTTCAATAAATGGTGCTGGGAAAACTGGACAGCTAGCTATATGCAGAAGAATGAAACTTGACCATTCTCTTACACCATACACAAAGATAAACTCAAAATGGATAAAAGACCTCAATGTGAGACAGGAATCCATCAGAATCCTAGTGGAGAAGATAGGCAATAACCTCTTCAATATCAGCCACAGCAACTTCTTTCAAGATATGTCTCCAAAGGCAAAGGAAACAAAAGTGAAAATGAACTTTTGGGACTTCATCAAAATCAAAAGCTTCTGCACAGCAAAGGAAACAGTCAAGAAAACAAAGAGGCAACCCACGGAATGGGAGAAGATATTTGCAAATGACAGTACAGACAAAAGGTTGATATCCAGGATCTATAAAGAACTCCTCAAACTCAACACACACAAAACAGACAATCATAAAAAAATGGGCAGAAGATATGAACAGACACTTCTCCAATGAAGACATACAAATGGCTATCAGACACATGAAAAAATGTTCATCATCACCAGTCATCAGGGAGATTCAAATTAAAACTACATTGAGATATCACTTTATACCATTTAAAATGGCCAAAATTAGCAAGACAGGAAACAACACGTGTTGGAGGGGATGTGGAGAAAGGGGAACCCTCTTACTCTGTTGGTGGGAATGCAAGTTGGTGCAGCCACTTTGGAGAACAGTGTGGAGATTCCTCAAGAAATTAAAAATAGAGCTTCCCTATGACCCTGCAATTGCACTCCTGGGTATTTACCCCAAAGATACAGATGTAGTGAAAAGAAGGGCCATCTGTACCCCAATGTTTATAGCAGCAATGGCCACGGTCGCCAAACTGTGGAAAGAACCAAGATGCCCTTCAACGGACGAATGGATAAGGAAGATGTGGTCCATATACACTATGAAGTACTACGCATCCATCAGAAAGGATGAATACCCAACTTTTGTAGCAACATGGACGGGACTGGAAGAGATTATGCTGAGTGAAATAAGTCAAGCAGAGAGAGTCAATTATCATATGGTTTCACTTATTTGTGGAGCATAACAAATAGCATGGAGGACAAGGGTAGTTAGAGAGGAGAAGGGAGTTGAGGGAAATTGGAAGGGGAGGTGAACCATGTGAGACTATGGACTCTGAAAAACAATCTGAGGTTTTGAACGGGCGGGCGGTGGGAGGTTGGGGGAACCAGGTGGTGGGTTTTGGAGAGGGTGCGGATTGCATGGAGCACTGGGTGTGGTGCAAAAACAATGAATACTGTTACGCTGAAAATAAATTTAAAAATAAAAAAAAAAAAAGAAAATAGTCTCATGTCAAAAAATAAGTGCTATCTCAAAAAAGAAAAAGTTCCAAATAAACCCAAAGCAAATAGAAAAAAGCAAATAATAAAAATAAAAGTGAAGTTTAATGAAACTGAAAACAGAAAAATAATAGAGAAAAACAATGAAACAAAAAGGTAGTTCTGTGAAAGGCAAATCAAACAAACCTCTAGCAAGATGACAAAGAAAAAAGACAGATGACACAAATTACTAATATCAAAAATGAAGCCGGAGATATATTATAGGCCATAAAGATATTAAGAGGATCATAAAGGAATACCCTGAACAATTTTACACATATAAATTAACATCCTAAGAGAAATGGACGGATTTCTTAAAAAGCACTAATGATCACAACTTACCTAACATAAAATTGATAAGTTGAAGAGACTTATACCTATTAAAGAAATTAATTTGTAATGACAAAACTCCAGAAATCTCATGATCCAGAGAATATTGCAGGAGAATTTTATGAAATATTGAATTGTACACAAAATTTTGCACAATCTTTTCCAGAAAACAGAAGATAAGAGGGTACTTCCTCACTTACCTTGTGAAATTAGTATTACCTGATACCAAAACCAAACAAAGACTGTCAAAAAAAAAAAAAAAAAGGAAACAGAAACCTACAGACCAATATTCCTCATGAATAGAGAGGCAAACACCCTTAGCAAAATATTGGCAAGTAAAATTCAGCAATATATAAAAAAAGGTTTTTAAAAAGAGTATTATCAAACATATAACACTGTGAGGCTTATTCTAGGGATGGAAGACTTGTTCAATATTTGAACATCACTCAACCTAATCCACCATATTAACTGGCCAAAAAAAAAAAAAAAAGTCACATGATCTCATCTATTGATGCCTAAAATGTATTTGGCAAAATTCAACATCTGTTCATGATTAAAAGAAAAAAAAATGACTTTCAGAAAACCAGAAATAAAGGGAACTCCCTCAATTTGATAAAAAAAAATATATACATAAATACAGCTAACATTACACTTAATAGTGAAAGACCGAATGTCCTTCTTCTATGATCTGGAGCAAAGCAAGTTGTCCATTCACACCAGTACTGTTCAGTGGTGACTGGAAGTTCCAGTCAGTGAAATAAAGCAATAACATAAAATAAAAGTCATACAAATTGGGAAGCAAGAAATAAAACTTCCCATATGACATGATGGCATGTACAGAAAAATCCCAAGGAATGTATCAAAAAACAAACACATAAAACTTGCTTAAAATAGTGAGTGAGTTTCAGCAAGTCCAAGAACACAAAATCAGTACACAAAAATTAACTGTATTTCTATATATCTAGCAATGAACAAGGGAAAAGGAAATTTTAAAATACAGTACCACTTATAATCACTCCAAAACCATGAAATACTTAGGTGTAAATCTAACAAAATATATTCAGAACTTGTATACTAAAGACTATAAAATACTGGATGCAAGATATTAAAGAAGATCTAAAATGGAAAGACATATCACATTTGTGGATTTGAATACTCAACATAGTGCAGATGGCATTTTTCCCAAACTGATAGAGTCTGGGAATAGAGATACTTAAATAGAGAGACTTATCAGAAAAGATTTTCTAGATATAGATAAGATAATTCTAAAATTTAAATGGAAAATAAATGGCTTATAAGAGTTAAAATAATTTTTAAAAAGAGGAATAAAGAGGTTGAATCAATCTACCCAATTTCAAGACTCATTATGTAACTATAGTAATCAAGAAAGTGGGTATTGACACAGTGATAGACACATAGATAAATAGAACAAAATAGAGAATCCAGAAATAGCCTATGCTGGCTGAGTTTTGGCAAATGTTATAAATGGAATTCAACAAAAGATAGACTTTTCAATAAATGGTGATAGAGGAACAAGATACCCATAGCCGGGGGTGGGGGGGAGGGGGAATGGCGGGGGGGGGGGGACTCAGCTCTAAACCTCGCACACTGATTTTATATAAAGACAGATAAATGAATTAAATGTAAAACATAAAATTATAAAACTTTCAGAAGAAAACAAAGGAGAAGATCTTCAGGAACTAGGGCTTTATGAAGAGTTCTCTGTCATTACTTCAAAAGCATGTTCCAAAAAATGTTTAAAAATCAATAAATTGAATTTCATCAATATTAAAAACTTTCCCTTGGTGAAAGATCTTGTTAAAAGAATGAAAAGACAAGCTACATACTGAGAGAAAAACATTTGCAAACTACATCTGGCAAAGGAATCTTACCTAGATTATATGAAGGACTCAGTAATTCAACAGAAAAAAAAATAAACAAAGCAAAATAATCCAGTTTTTAAAGGCAACTAATATAAAGAGATATTTCAATAAAGAGGATATATTGCTAGCAAATAAGCACATAAAATAAGTTCAATATCATTAACCATCATCAGGAAAATGCAAATCAAACCAACAATGAAGCATCAACCTATTAGATTTATACCTATTAGAACAGGTAAAATATAAAAAAAAATAGTGACAATACTCATTGCTGGTGAAGATAGAGAACCTGGATCTCTCAAACATTACCGGTTTGACTAGAAAATGGTACAGACACTTTGGAAAAAAAAAAAAGTTTGACAGTTTCTTTAAAAAACTAAACATTCATCATACAACCTAGTAATCATACTACTCCAGGGCATTCATCCTAGGGAATGAAATTGTATTTCCATGCATGAAGCTGAATACAAATGCATGTAGTCATTTTATTTGTAATAAACAAAAACTGGAAGCAACAAAAATGTTTTTCAATAGGTGTTTCTTCCTGGCATGGAAGATTACTTAGCTATAAGAAAGAACTACTAGTAACACACACAACTTGAATGGATCTCCAAATCACATTGCTGAGGGAAGAAAATCCTATCTCAAATGGTCACATACTGAACGATTGCATGTATGTGGCATTCTAAAAATGACCAAAATATAGAAATAACAAATAGTGGCAGACAAGGGTTAGGAATTTTGGAGGAGGGAGGTGGGTGAGACTATGAAGAGGCAGCAGGAGGGCATCTTTATGATGATGAAACAGTTCTGTAGTTTGATTGCCATGATCCTTCCACCAAATCCACACACAATAAAATGACATGAAATCATACACACACGTTGCACCCATGCCAATTTCCTGGCTTTGCTGTCATACTACACTCATAAATTCTGTGACTCTGCACCATCTTTGCAACTTCCTGTGAATCTGTAATTATTCAAAACAAAAAACTTAAAAATATATCATCACAGTATATTTTCTATTAGAATAACAAACATCAACACTCACTTCCAATATCCGGCCTCAGCTTTTTATCATATTCTCTTAGCAATTTGTTGAGAATAAGAGTCACATCAGTGTCTTGGGATTTTGGAGCCAAGACCCACTTTTGGTTTGATGATGAATCTTCATATTCATCCTCCTCCACCTTTCTGGACCTGTAATTATGGCACAAAGCGTGAAGTATAAGTTGCAGCAGGGGCCAGGAAATGTCTTAAGCTTGGCTCATTCAAGCACCACTGACATAAATAGACAGTCCCCAATACTCACAGCCCAATCAATGCATTACCTCTAAAATGAAAACAAAACACTGTTTAGAAAGAATCCAATAGGAGGAATGCCACTGCTCTTAACATGTCATAATGTTTTCATTAAATGTCACAAAATGATTCCTCATCTATGGTAAGCTATAGGCAAAATGATAAGCAAATCAATGCCAGAAGATCAAACAGCAAGCAATCAGCCATGTTTGGTCCCACCCTGAGAACCTCTGAAAGTTCAACCTTCCAGATGTTTGTCAAATGGTGACTTTATGATGTTGTTTCCACCCCTTACTGCCAAGACCTCATTTTAGTTGAAGGTGAGAATTGCTTTTGCAGAATCGCACTCACTGAAAATAACTGAGTCTAACTTTTGTGCTTCTTAAGGAGACTGGAACCTTCATTCTAGATACATGGGGATATGATGAGGTGGTCTGCTTGGCTAGCACTCATATGTGGTGGCAAGGAACAAAGATGATGTTTGGAGAATACCCTCTGGTAATTTTACCTCTTACAACGAAAACTGACTCATTCCCTACAGAGCAGATTAATACAGACATTAAAAATTAAAAAAAACCCTTTCTAATATGTCTTAATCATTTGGACTCTTAATAAATGGGCTGAAATGAATGCTTGAGCATATCTGAGCTTGTCTCCTGTAGCAGGACAACCGCCTCTCCTGGGTGATACACACTGACAGGAGTACTTGAATAGAGAGGCCTCAAAATGACAAGCTAGTTTTCTCAGTGAGTGAGGCCAAATCAACAACACAACCATTTGGGCTTGAAAAAAGGAGAGTCTCCTTCTGCCTTAAAGCAGCATTTCCAGGTGGACTTTCACTTACTAAGGGAACAACTTGTAAAACAACAAACAACTTTGCTTTTTTCCTTATACTTTGTCAATATAAATGCCTTAATGACTTTTTTCTTCACCAAAGAGAACAAATTCTAGAATAGAAAATTGTATTGAGGTTTATTTGTCCTGATTTGGTATGAGCTCATTTCCGTTTAGCTTCCCACACAGGAGCCAAAATGTTAACATCATCCCAGGGCAGTTGTGTTCTGGGACACAAGTTTCTTTAAACTAATTTCTGGATTTGCTTAAATTCTCCATAATGAACATGAAAGAAAGGAAGAGAAAAAACTTTCAAAAAATAATTTCCTCTACTTTGTTTAAATGCTCACAATCATATAAATAATATCATAATCATGTAATTATATATATAGTATAATAGTATACACGACTTTACATAATATGTAAGTATATGCATATGTCATGTATTATATACATTATAGTATTTTTTCTTTCTCTTTTTTATTTTAATTTTTTTTCATGTTCCAAGATTCATTGTTTATGCACCACACCCAGTGCTCCATGCAATATGTGCCCTCAGTTACTACCACCAGGCTCACCCATTCCCCCACCTCCCTCCCCTCCATTTATGAGTGTTAACTAGCCTTAACCTAGACTAGGGCAGTGTCACATAGTATGGTCCTATTTTGAATATATACATATATATGAGATTTACATATACTCATATGGCAGATTGAATGTCTAGCAGATTGAATTCATTTAAGTTTTTCCTAGGCTTATCTTAAACTCTACTTCCATTTCTTGAATATTTTATTGGCTAGAAGGTTAAAATAAATTATCCACAGAAACTAGAAAATGCTATGAGTTTTTATTTGCACTGAACATTCACCATCAATAGGAACTTAAAAACTTTGGGACACAGTCAAGAAGTGATATGCTGCATTTCATTATTTGTAAAACTGAACTTTTAGAAATAACACTACAGAATATAAAATGTCACTGTAGAATATTTTATCAGAAATATTGTCAGGGATATTAATTTTATCATCTTGGAAAAAAAGAAGTAGGTTGAAGCAGGTTCTACAGGACATGGTTAGCTGGAAGCAATCACTGCAATTCATTCTGAGGCAAAACCATTTGGAGGGACTATGGACAGAGGGACAGATCACTTTGGCAGAATCATACACAACATTCTCAAGACACGTTCCAACTCCACCACAGTGCTTTCCTCTCTCTCTCCTGTCTCTCTGCCTCTTTCTCTCTCTTCCCTCTTCTCTTCCCCTCCCCTACATTTCTCTCTTATCCCTCTCCCTGTGTCCCCTCCCCCACTCCCAAAGACAGCTCACCAGCACAGGCCAGACTGTGCTCTCCATACCCTGTTATTTTCTACTGCCCCAGTGGTCATATGTACATAGATTGAGCACACTAACTCTTCATCAGTTCTCTGTATACACACAGCCTTCGTTTTTGAGAAAGACTTGGAGCTACTTCAAACGCAGGTATTATAATGAGCCTAATTCTCCCTCTAGTGGAGACCAGAGGGTTTTCCTGAAATTGCGTAAGCTTTTTAGAGGCCAAGGCAGGTGAGAGTGGGAAAGAGGAAGGAAAAGCAGCAGGGTCCTCTCTCACCCCTTCAGCAGGTAAACCAGCACCTGCAGCGCAGTGGCTGGGTTGGGGTACACAGTGGCAAAGTGTGGGCAGAGATCCTCTTGTCTCTTAGAGACCGACACTGAGTTTCTCCCAATCCTCGTCTGTCAGTTTGCTGCAGGACTTTAGGGAATGAAGTAGAAATCTCACGGTGCTAAGTGTCAGACCACCAGCCCCACAGGAAAATCCTCCCTTTCATGAAAAACAAATCTTGTCTCAGAGGACCCACTAGAATATGAATAAAACTAGAATGATCAGCTTTTCTAAATTCTAGGTGGGCTATATATAATCTTTATGAGTGTTCTGTTATCAGTAATGTTGGATCCTAAATACCATCACTGCAATTAGCTTTTCTTAAAGACAAATCAGCAATGTATTGTCATTGTCAAAGAATTGTTCAATCTTCAGATGTTATTTTCAGGTCTTACACCTTCTCTTCAACTAGAAGTACAGAGAGACAAAATCTGAATTATTTTTAAACATTAAAAGGAACTCCTAAACCTCAGAAAGCAGTTAAGTGTCTGCAAGGAATCACCAAGGTCCAGGCATGATATAGTGTGTTGTAATGCATAATGAGCTTATCCATGGGTGTCAAGAATAGGGTGCTTTTCTCTCCATGGAGTTACCAAGCCATCACCACAGAGCACAACTGTCAGAGCCTTTCCAGGGACTCTGAACACCAGAAAGGCACTCCAGAGGGCAAACGAAAACCTCTCAGCATTAATAATAGTTTTGAAAGAGGACACTGGACATCAGATTACTTTACATGTCTGTAAAACCCATTCAGAGAACAAAGACACTTACAAAGGAGAGGCATATAGCAAAGCAATTAGTTTAAAATTTGGATTTTTTTTTTTTTTGCAACAGATATGTAACCTCTATTATAAAGTCCAGGGAATGAACCAAGATACAGAACATACTAATATTACATTTGCTTTGGTGAAAAGGAAGGATGAAGAATCTCAAGAAATTGTTCATGTATTTGGGAATCCTTAGAAACCTGACTACTTCATTTAGATACTAAGATATCTTCCTACTAAGCACACATACTAATGAGGACAATAAGCAGCTTTCCTTGTAGCATTGTAGCTATAAATCTAAACTATAATTATCTAACTCTGAAATGCAGGTCACTTCATCCAGCTGGCAGCAACAGAAAAGTCATGCAGATGCAACTTCAGATCAAGATTATATATTTCAGACGTCTACATTATGCCTGGTGCTATCTGCTGGTCTTTCTGCCTCTAAACAGAGATATATCCAGGCAGAGTTGACTTCAGAAAGTGCACTTCCATAAGCTTCCCTAGCTCTCTTCTTAGACAGAAAGAAACTTGAGTTGAAAGACCCAAGGAGTACTATGCCTGGTTGAGAGAGCTGCCTGCGTTTCACCAGCTGACACGGTCTCTGGCACACTGTCTGCCTTTCACACTCTCACCTCTTAATAGGGATAAGTGGTATGGAGGAGAGAACTGGGGTTTTCTTTCTCAGGATCAAACACCCCTGTCAAAAGTGGGGAGTGAAAATGGGGGTCCCTTTATGTCTTCTAAGATTTGTTAATGTGCCTTCCTTCTTCACAAATGAATGAAAATCTAAGACCTGACGTTGCTTGCTGACACCTGCAGGGCTAACTGCCCATAGAAAGGCTCTCTAGCTCTCTGGCTTCCAGACTCAGGAAATGAACAAAGAATGTTTTGGGGAAAGGGGCATCCCAAGATTCTTGGGATGGGGGTGTTGGGGGTAATGGAGCTGTTCTGATTTCCAAAGTCTGCAGGCTATGGGCCAAAGAACTAGTCTGGGAGACAGAATTAAAGGAACCAAACCCAGAATATCCAGTTTTATTTACAGCAACACGGTTTAACTCTTCTGGTTCCACTGCCCTTCCATCCTCATGAGCCATCTTCATCCCTTCCAGGAGCGTCTCTAAGCTCCCATCAGTGGGCTCCTGTTTTAGAAGGCAGATTAAGGGTATTTGGGGTAAAATAATATCTTACAGTTACCAGGCAGAAGCTTTACTATCAATTTCAACGAGCTTGCCTTATGGGGGTAAGTGTGTATATGTTCCTGTGTGCGAAAAGTGGCTCATCTAGAAGGGGTGCATGTGTACAGTGTGTGTTTGCAGGCCCTGGCTGGGGGGGGGGATCCTTTCTGAGAAGTAGGGTTCCTTCCCTTGTTCCAATCCTCTCCCACCTGCCCCCAGCCTGGATGCTCTTTACCAGTGTGATCCAAACTAGGCAGCTAGGAAATCTTGACTTCTGGCTCCTGGGAAATTTCACAATGATGTAAATTATATAGAATGTCAGCCTGTGTGTGTGTGTGTGTGTGTGTGTGTGTGTGCGTGCGCCCCTGGAACACTTGTAGGAAGGGTGTAAATAAGAGGTAGACACCTTCGGTTCTTTATGATAGTGGTTTTCAAAACCCCTTAAAACAACCATATCCTAAAAGCTTCAGGAGAAGCCCATTAATCTGAGTCCGCACATTCGCAGTCACAGGGAAGGCTGCAGCCACCCAGCCTGGAAAGGCAGACCGCCATGTACAGGCGCAATAGGACAGGTGAGGTGCTGGCCTACTTCCCCCCTTCTCCTGATCTCGCCCAAGCGGGCTATGCAACAACCCAGCCGACGGCGGGGCGCACGGGGATTCCTTGCTGGCAGACAGCGCCCCCAGCCGCCCTCCAGAGCCCGGGGCTGCGGGGCCCCGGCGCCACTTACCGCGCGTGCAAGCCCGAGAACAGGCAGAGGAAAAGCAGCAGCTTCGGGGCCATGGTGTGGTGGGGCTTGGGGAGCGGCGTCCAGGGCCTCCAGCCGGGTGCGGCGTCCGCTGAAGCACGGGCCTCGCCTCCTCCCGCTCTCCGCTCTCTCCCTGCCTCCCGTGCCGCGGACTGCGGCGCCACACAGACTCCCGGCAGCCGCGGCCGGACAGGTGTGGGCTCCGGCTGCCCGCCGCGCCCCCGACGGCCGGCGGGTCTGCGCGCGACTCCGCGGGGCGCACGCGGGACACCCGGCCACCACGGCGCGCAGCCCCCCGCCCGCGCTCGGGCGCCGGGTCCGCGCAGCCTGGTGGCTGGAGCTGGTGGGCGCGGGCCGTCCCTGGCCCTGCAGCCGCGCGGCCGGCCGAGGCACTGCCCCCTCCGCCGCGAGCTGAGCGCCAGTGCCCCGGCGGTGGGCTCTGTGCGCGGTGTGAGGTCGCCGCGCGCTCGGAGGTGGGGGCAGCTAGGCGGCCGTTCGTCTGGCAGCGCCGGCGAGGCGGTCCCGGCGGGGAGGAGTTTCCCCAATTACACGCCTGACATCGCGCGCAGCTAAGAAAGCAAGGTTTGAATGGACTCAAGAGTTTGAGGCCGGGAAGGGGGCGGGGCTCAGCGGGGGAGGAGAGGCTTGGGGATCCCGCAGGGAGCATTTATCAGCAGACGTGATGGTTCTCTCGTGCTCCCTGACCTCCTGTTGCCCGTCCTTCCCCGCGCATCTTCAGCTAGGTAGCCATGGCAAAGGAGTGAGATGGTTTGCTGAAAGCGCCCCTTCCAAACACATGCCCCGCTAGGTCTACTGAACTCCTATGAACTACTAAGATTCTGGGTGAAAAGTGACTTGCTAGGGATATTTAGGGAAAAGCACTCCTAATATGTACCATTGTAACACATACCAATAAATAGGTGAAAAAGTTAAAGGTAAGAGAGAGGAAGACCCTCAGTCAAAAAGTAGAAGACATTGTTTGATGGAACCAGGAAGAGCACTTCGTTCAATGTATTTTCATTCCCCAAGGACTGAAAATTACATTTGTGTTTTCATTTATAATAGTCACCCCTAAAGCTAGTCTGTCACTGAGTATTACAATATTAGCATGGTTTAGAATAAATCTGCTAAGAAGTTTGCTTTTATACTGCAAAAAATAGTTCTTATAAAGTATTTTATATTTGAAATGTTATTATATAATTATGAAAGGGTATGATAACTGTTTCTTAATATTGTCAAATATTTTTGTTCATAAAATACATAGAACAGTAAGTTGGAAGTTGTCTGGTGTTTTCTCTCTTATTTCTAGTTCATCAACATGACAGTGGTCATGAAGTGGGGTGGAGTGAAGTCAAGGATGACAGTATTGGTTGCTTCCTTGTCATTATTATCTTCCTATCTCTTTGTGGCCTTGAGCTCACTCCAGCTCATTGCTTCTCAGGGTTCCTTCTGGTATCCACCTCTGCCTCCCACATCTTTCTTACTTAAATGCACAGACCCCATTCAAGTCTTATTTTCTAAGAGGACCCCCAACATTCCAGCATTCTGCCACTTGCAGAAATTCTTCCAGCTTCATGGGAATATGAGCTTTTATCATATTCTGCCCTAATCTCTAATTTTCTCTATCACACAATTGAACACTTCAAAAATCAGTTAGGTAATGACTTACCATTTGTTACTTGAAATATGTCAAATGTTCACATAGTTTTTAAATGTGTGAGAAAACTGCACGTAAAGAAAGAATTCTGGGGTGCCTGGGTGGCTCAGTGGGTTAAAGCCTCTGCCTTTGGCTCAGGTCATGATCTCAGGGTCCTGGGATCGAGCCCCACATCGGGCTCTTTGCTCAGCAGGGAGCCTGCTTCCTCCTCTCTCTGACTGCCTCTCTGCCTACTTGTGATCTCTGTCTATCAAATAAATAAATAAAATCTTAAAAAAAAAAAGAAAAAGAAAGAATTCTGACCCTCAATTTTTAACACAGCCATAGGAATGTAGGTAAAAACCGTCAAATATTGATAACATAAGGGAGCACAGGGCTGAAGTGAAGGCTTTTCTTTGATTAACTCATTTTTAACTTCCCTAGCAATCTTCCTGTTTCAAAGATGGAGGGAAAAATATAGAGAAGTTAGGTCACTTCCCTATCTCACAAGTTGAGAACTGGAAGTTAAAACCCAGACAGTCAGTTCCAATGTCTCCGTCTTAATCACTATGTCATACTGCCTCTCAGATGAGTAGGAGCTCTGAACAATTGTTTCCTCCTTTGAGCAAAGTTTTAGACTTGTAGCTGCATTCTTTATTATTTGAGCATGAGTAAAATGTTTACTAGTTATTTGTAATAAAATTAGAGCAACACTTAAGTATTTTCGAAGCTCTTCTGGCATTTGGAATGCTTTGCTCCACTTTCTGGACTTAATGGGTCAGCTTGGTAGACATGGACATTTTACCTTCAAAGGCTCCCTTTCTTATGTTGGGGTCTGAAGCAAAATGTTCCCTCTTCTCTCCTCTTCACTCCTCTCCTCTCCGCTCCCTTCCTCTCTTTTTTTTATAAGCAAACTGAGTTGAGAGGAAGGAAAATCCAAAACAAGCTTTCTGGGCATAAGTGTAAAAGCAAAATGCAAGATCCAAAATATAGAATCTGCAAAGGACAAATTTTGAGGCTTTGATTTTTATTTTCCTCGTTGCCCAGTTTGACCGGAGGGGAGGGGAGGGGAAGGGAAGGAAAAGGGATGGCGGGGGTGGGGTGGAGGATCTTTAACAGAGCATGCGCGGTGTTTACTCTCGGTTTACCTCAGCTCTCTCCATCTTCAGCACCAGAGACCCTGACAGTTCCACTTGGGTGGGTACGCGGGACTTGAATTCATTCAATTCCCCAAGTTCCCAGGAAGACAAAGGAAAATAAAACGTAACACAAGAGGTAAGGGTTGGGGATCGACCCACTCAACCCAAACACGCGCACTTCTGTGACTATCGAACATCTTCCAGCAATGCATGCGGTTTGACTTTTGCATCCGGTCTAGACTTCAGGCTTTCAGGGAAAGACCCGGGCTGGCCTGCACAGCGTGTGGGTTAACCTGCATCTCTGCAGGAGGCGGGAAGGAACCTACGGAGGCAGCCAGACTGGCTGCTTGGTTAGGGATCCTCTTGCGGCGTCTCTGAAAAATACCTCAGGCTTTCTTTCCTGGCCTCGCTTCACCTCCTGCATGCGTGAAGGAGCAGAGCGAGTCACCGTGCTGAATATACTGGACCACTGACTGCATCGGTTCTGCGTTTTACTCTTTATTGCTTCTGAAATTGGTTTGAATACAATCTCCCCTGCTCTCAAAATTATACTTCTGAATTGTATTATGATGTTTCATAGTTGTTTAAAAAAAAAAAAACTTTTCTTCATCACGGAAAAATATTAAGAGAACACACACAACAAAATGCACTCATCTTAAAATTATGGCTCAATGAATTTTTATTCGTCCATATGCCATATGTATAAGAATAGCACGTATATATCATCCAGATAAAGATTTAGAACATATTCCAGGTGCTCCCTCCCAGTTACTGGGTCATTTTCCCAGGCAGTCCTGACCCCAGGTAAACACTCTTCTGGCTTCTGTCACAATAGACTGGTTTTTGCCTGCTCTTGAAGCTCACACGGAATCATGTAGTATGTTCTATTTAACATGTGATTTACCTCACCCAATGCAGTGTCTGCAAGATGTATTCATTCCTTACGCTTTATTGCTGCACATGGTATTTCATCGTGGTATTCAATATACTACATATTATTTATCTGATTTAAACATATTGGTACTTTTTTGTGTAGAAATATGTGCTCATTTCTCTTAGTTTTCTGACTAAAAATGGAATTCTTAGATCACAGGGAGGGTATATGTTTAATTATAATAATGATTACTAAAGAGATTTTCAGAGTAGTTGTATCAACTCACCACCCATTAGCTATGAGTTCCATACATAGCTTTAGTGCTATGTGGTTTTATAGCTTTTTTAAAAAAATTATAGCCATTCTGTATTTTATTCTAATTCTAATTTCACTGAGCGTCTTTCAAATTCTTACTAGCCATTAGAATATCTTTTAGGAAGTGTCATTCAAGTCTTTGGCCCATTTTAAAATTAGCCTGGTCCTCTTCTTTTTATTTACAAAAGCTCATTATGTATTTTTGATATGAGCCCTTTAATGTGTGTTGTCATGAATATCTTCTCTCAGTCGATAGTTTGCCTTTACATTCTCTGAATAGTGTTTCATGAACATTATTGCTTTGTGTCCTATGTAATAAATGATAGCATACTCAACCATTGGAAATATAGTATACCAGGTTTTCTTCAGAAAGCTTTAGAAGAAAACTCCTATTTTAGGTCTAGATTTTGTTTCTAATTAGTTTTAGTATATGACTTTATTTTTGAGTCACTGTTTATTTCTTTTTATGCTGACAACTAACTGACCTAGCATGATTTATTTAAAATACCATCTTTTTAACCACTAAATTTGCATAAATCAGTTGACCATATATGAATGCATCTTTTTTGCTGAGTTTTATTCTGTTGATCTCTTTGTCCATATTTGGACCAATATCACACTTTTGAAAATTACTAAAGCTTCAAAATTATTCTTAATAGTATTATTTTTAGTACTCTGAATTTATTTCTTTGGCTGTTCTAGGCTGGTTGCATTTCCATAGAAGTAAGCTTCCCCCAAGTTTTTAATTATTTACTCCAAAATTTTCACAAGCTTAATAAGTAACTGATAAAAATAATACACAAATTTCATATAATATAATCTACAGTCCATAGTCAAATTTTAGTAATTGTTTCAATTACATATTTCAAAGCATTTCTTCTCATGTACTCCAAGATCCCACTCAGGGTCACACAATTTACAATTTATTGTGTTCCTTTAGTCTGTTTTTAATCTAGAACATTTCTTGGCCTTTCTTGATCTTTCATAACATTGATGGTTTCAGTAGAGAAAGTGATTTTGTAGAATGCATCTCAGTTAACGTCTACCTGCTGTTTCCTCTTGCTCAGATTGAGTTATGAATTTTTGGCACAAATCCACCATAATAATGTTGATTTTCTCACATAGGGGGAACATATGTTGGTTTATCCTATTATGGATATTGCTGATCACTTG